CGAGCTTCCCTCCCGCCGGCAATGGGGCGGGCTGGGGCCGCCAGGGGAGCAAACGCAAGAAGAAGCGGGGTCTGGGGTGTGCCAATGGCGCTACCTCGGCCTCCGGCCCCTCCCGCGACCCGACGACTTCCACCTCGACCGCGTTGCTCCCTGATGGCCGCATCTCTGAGCTCGTCAAGTGCTTCAATTGCGGCCTCTTTGGCCACTCCCAGGTGGCATGTACGCGCCCCCAGTGCTGCTACGTGTGCTCGGACCCTGACCACCCGGCGTTCCTTTGCCCCGACCGTCCGGTGACGGAGGAGTTGATGATGTACGGGCATAGGATCGAGGGCCTCGGCTACTTCCACATCGAGGTGCCTAACATCCCTTCCCCCTCACTCTCGCTCCTGGCGATTGTCACCATGCGGGATGGGGTTGCCTCTCCGGAGATGATCGAGGCTGAGCTCAACCACCTCTACCACTGCACCTGGGATTGGCAGGTCACCTTGCTGGCAGGAGGCCAGTTCTCGATGGTGTTCCCCGACGTGGTTAGCCACGGCTACGGCACCCGCAGCGACGACATAACCCTGGCTCTCAACAAGCTAGTGGTTGACATCTCTGTGCCGGTCAGGGACCCTCTGGCGGTTGCTGTCCTGGACATGGCCTGGATCCTCATCGGCGGCCTCCCTGGCATCGCCCGCTTGGAGAGGGTCATTTGGAACATGTCCCACATCCTCAGCAAGGTGGTCGTGATGGACGAGCTTTCTCTTCGCAAGGAGGAGGAGGTGCGAGTCAAGGTCAAATCACTTGACTCGTCTAAGCTCCGCGCCACGGTCCGGGTGTTCTTCAATGACCAAGGTTTTGACCTCTGCAGCTCCCCCGAGCCGCCCAACCACATTGGACGCCCCCGCATCCCCGACGACAGCTTCTTGGGGGGTGGCCCCAATGGGGGAGGCATGGGGGGCCATCACAACGACCGGGACCCCCGCCACGGCCACGACTCCGGCTCAGAGGAGAATGATGATGACTCCGAGGATAGTCCTCCCCACAACCAGCCTCCCGCCTCGGCTGCCAGGGCCGGCACGGGGGCAGGCCGGTCCCACACCGCGGCCACCCCGTCGCACGATGATGGACTTGATGCCTCCGACGTGAGCCTTCAGGTCTTCCCGGCGTCGTCCCCTTGCTCCCCCAATGGTACCTCCTCTGCATCCTCGCTACTCTCTCCGTCGTGGCCGACCCGACCCCGCTCGGTTCGCCCTCGCCTTTGACAACCGCGCCTTTGGGGGTGATGGGGTTGGTTTTGTCTCCGGGCCTCTCTGCGCCTCTCGATGAGCCGGTCGTACCAGACCTAGGGGTGGCCGATCCGCCCCTCGGTGCCGCTGCGACCCCGACCCCCTGGCCTCCACTCAGCTCTGCTACACGTCTGCTCCCGCCCTGCCTCTGGCGTCCTCGTACACCGCCTTCGATGGGCCGTTGGCGGTGGTGACCACTCCGGTACCCCCCCTCGGACTACGGCCTACTCTAGGCGGGGCAGATCGACCTCGACTTCGGTGACATCTTCTCGTTGTAGTGCTCGGATCGAGGCGGCCAGGCCGGAGGGCAGGCCTGCTCTACCTATCCCCGAGCGGGCAGAGCTCTGGGCCGCTGCCCAGAACCTCCGTCCATCCCAGCCACCCCTGCTAGTTGTTCCTTTTCTGCTTTGGAGTCGGCACCGCTTGGCCACCTCGCCAAGGTGGCGGCGGACTCGGCCATAGTTTTCCGGGGTGAGATTGCACCCCCTCTAGCTCAGATCGAGGCGATTCGCGCGAGGGAAATCCTCGATGGGCATCCTGTCGAGGCCTGTGCGTGCCTTTCGACCTCATCGGGGGCCCCTTCTGTGGCCACCTCAAGTGCCCAGCCGCGTGCGGTGGCCGATCCTGTGGAGATCCGAGGCCGCACCCGCTCCCGCACTGCAGCCCTCCGTGCCCAGAGCGCATCACGAGTCTTGGGGTCAAGAAGCCCCCCAATGGATTCATGATGCGGACCCTCTTCTGGAACATCCGTGGCTTTGGCCAAGATGGCGGACGCCGCCAACTGGTAGAGTACATGCGAACCGAGCGAATTGACATTATGGCCATCCAAGAAA